AGATATGATGGGGTCAGTATCAACCAAGTCTTGAACTGTTCAGAGATAGAAGAAAGTGTTAGCGAATTGATGTAGTCTGACTAACCAAAGATGGAGTGGGAAAGATTTGGACTTATTGAAATGCAGGTGTGCGTGACCCTTCCCTATGGAATTAAAATGAAATGATCTCCCCCATGGGTACTAAATTCTCAAATCTTACGGGAAAAATATCCTGAGAATCCTCAAAAGTTAAGTACATAGATAAAAGTAAAAGGCAATCTAAGTGTCTTTCTCTTTGTACCCCTTTTTCTCTTAACAATGAATACATAAAGAATTACAGATCTATGTTGATGAGCAAAAATAAATATAAATATGTAAATTACACAGTAATAGAAATGTCTATATAGAAGCAAACTTTAATATATAATTAAAATTAAATTGATAATAATTTGAACTACATCATTAAAAAATGACAGCAATTGTAATTTCAAAAGCATGACTAAGAGAATAACCCAAAATATACAAAGAAGGAAATAAAATTAAAATATTATACAAGAAATGAACAGAAATAAAGACATTAAAACAGAAACAGGAGTAAAACAACAAGAATATGTAGAAAACAAATAGGAAAATTCAGCCTTATCACTAACTACATTAAATATAAATGGATAAAACACTCCTTTCAAAAGACAGAGATTGACAAGATGGATTAAAAATAAAAATATGATCCATATGTATGCCATTTTAAAGATATGTATTTTAGAATTAAAGAAGCAAGTATGCAGAATGTTAAGAGACAGAAAAAGTTATATCAAGCCAATAGTAACTACAGAAAAGCTAGAGTGGCTATACTCATATTAGGCAAAATAGATTTTAAGAAAAACATTAAAATGATAAGATCAATTCATCAATAAGATTGAACAGTTGTAAACATATGTGCAATTAATATGTGCACCAAACTAAAGGAAATCAAACCTGACAGAATTGAAGAAGGAAACAAACACCTCAACATTTTTAGAGACCTCAGTAATCTATTTTCAGTAATGGATAGAACAACTAGACGGCATATCAGCCAAGAGAGAAAAGAAAAGAACAAAACTTGAAAAATAAGAACAAACAAAAAAGTAAGCCTAATGAATCTTTACATTTCACCCAAGTAAAATACACATTCTCTTTAAGTACACAGGAGACATCCCCTAAAATAGACAAAAGTATTTGGATTAAAGAAAATATTCTGTAGATATACACACACTGGAATGCTAGCCATAAAGCAGAATGAGATCATGTTAACTGCAGCAAAATGGATGAAACTGGAGATCACCATGTTAAATAAAATAAATCACACTTAGAAAGACAAATATCACATGTTTTCTCTCCGATGCAAAATCTGGGGTTGGTAGGGAGATGACACTAAAAGCAGTACAGATTCAGGAGAACAGAAAGACTACAGGAGGTGAGATAAGTAAGGGGATAACAGAGAGGGTAAACACTATCAAAACACATCATTTGCAAGTATGACAGTGTCACAGTGGAACCCATTATTTTGGACAATATTCACTAATAATTATAATATTGACTCTTTAAATGATTGAAATCAGAGAAAGCATGTTCTTTGGTCCCAGTGGAATGACTCTAGAAATCAGTAAAGGAAGACAATATGGGAAACTCACAAATATGCAGAAATTAAAAAATACCCTTATATAAACAACAGGTCAAAGAAGAAATTCCACAGGAAGTCATAAAATGTTTTAAGATTAATTACAACAAAGACACAATATACCAAAATTTAGTGGATATAAGGAAAGTAGCAGTCAAAAGAAAAGCACAGCTATACATGTCTACAAAGAAGAAAACATCTCAAATCAATAACTGAAAGCTTTCAGTTTAAGATGTTAGAATAAAGAGCAAACTAAATGCCAAGCAAAAAAGAGAAAAGAATAAAAATTAGAGAAAAATTAAATTAAAAAAATACAAAATTAACAAAGTCAAAAGTCAGTTATTTGAAAACATGAATGAAATTGACAAGCCTTTTCCTATACTTACCAAGAAAAAAAGAGAGAAGACTCAAACTAAAATCAAGAATCAAAAATGGCACATGACTATTGATCTCCTACAAGTAAAAATAATTATAAGAAAATCTTAAGAACAATTTATATCAACAAATGAGAAATCCTAGAAGAGATGGGCAAATTCTAGAAGACATGAGCTACCAAAACTGCCCCACAAAGAAACAAAATCTAAACCGGTCTATAACAAAAATATTAATTTAATGATTTACAACCTTTCAACACAGAAAAGCCCAAGCCCAGAAAGTTTCCTGGTACAGTGTGTACACCAAATATTTAAAAAGGAAGTAACACCAATCTTTCCCAAACCCTTAGAAAAGGAGAATTAGAAGAATCATTTCCCAATTCATTCTATAAGGCCCATATTATCCTGACAATAAAACCAAAGACCCATCAAGCAAAAAAAGCCACATGCAAAGCAAAGTTGTTTGTGCACCATCAAGAAATTTCAAAGAAAACCAACAAATCAAAGAGTATATCTGACAAGGGTCTAGTAGCCAACTCTTCCAACTCAAGAAGAAAAGACAACCTAATTTAAAAATGGGCCAGTGTTTTAAATAAATATTTATACAGAGATTCTGTATGCAGTGGCCAATAAGCACATACAAATGCCCACCACCATTGGTCATTAGGTAAATGAAAATCAGAACCACAACAAAATGCTACTTCACATTCCTTAGGAAAGCTACCATTAGAACATGGAAAGCAGCAAGGATGTGGAGAAATTAGAACCATCCTAAATCGTTGGTGTAGATGTAAAATAACACAACTCCTTTGCAAAACAACTTGGAATGTCCTCAAAAATGTAAGCATAAGTACTATATAACCCAGCAATCCCATTCCTAGACATACAAAATAAATAGAAAATAAATGGTTACTGTCATGGTTTATGTCAGTGGCCCCCAGGGCTCATGCATTGGCATTATGCATCTGTGATTGGCTCATTGTATAGTGCTTGGATTAATGGTGTCAGTGCTACACCCACCTAGAGGTGGAGCCAGCATACAACGTAATGGCAGGAAGAAGGTGTGTCTTGCTCTCTTGCTGGTTTCTGCCTTGCTGTTTTGCAGCCTTGATGAACTGAGGCCCCGCCTTGGAGCCAATTGAGTATGGACTGAAATCTCCAAAAACTGTAAGAAATAAACCTTTCCTTTCCTAACTTTGGCATCAGGTATTTTGTCTCAGTGATCAGTAAAAAGTAACTAAAACAGTCACACAAGACACTTGGGCATGAATGTTCACAGAAGGTTGATTTGTAATTGCCAAAACTGAAAGTGACTCAAATGTCTACCAGCTAGTGAAGGGACAGCTGACTGTGGTGCACACATACCACAGAATGTTACGTAGCCATAACCAGAAATGAGATCTGAAAGGGTTACAACATGGACGAACTCTGCAAACATTAGACTCAAAAGTTACATATGCTATGATTTCATTGGTACTGCATGTTCAGAATGGGAAAACCCATGGAGAAAGAAAGAGGATTCGAAGTTCTTAGAGGTTTGGTGGGGACAGGAAATGAATGTTAGTGAATATAGGGTTTCATTGAGATATAAAAATGTTCTAAAATGCATGGTGGTGATCGATGCACATACTAAAAGCACTGCACTATTAAAAATGGTGAGTTTTATGGTGTATGAATCACCTCTTAACTTTTTTAAATGTCCAGATATTGCACTTGAGACATTTTGAGGAAAAAGGTACATTTTGATTCATTTTTACATGATAAATTTAAAATAGGTTAGAAATATTAAATGTAAAAAGTGAAATCATTAAAATTAGATCTTAATATACAAGATATACTAAGAAACTATAACATTTAAATATTGATAAGAGAATATTAAAATATAACCCTTTACATATCAGCATCATAACAAATAAATGAAAAGTAGATCAAGAGAAAATATTTATAGTATATATGACAATGGATTAATGTCTGGAAGGTATAAACAAATTAAGAAGGGACACTATCAATAGAGAAGTGGCAAAAGATGAAATATCTTCTTATTCACATTAGAGAAATACAGATATCCAATAAGCAGATGAGGATTTTTAAATTTATATATTTATTTTCTTATTTTAGGCAGGGTCCCACTATGTAGTTCAAGTTGGCCTTGAACTCACTATGTCACCCACTACGTTGGCCTCAAAATCATGGCAATCCTCCTGCCTCAGCCTTCTGAGTGGTGGGATTACAGGCGGGCAACATCACGCCCAACAAACACCTGAAATTCTTATGCAAGCTCAGTAATAATAGGTGAACTGAAAAATAAACCAATAACTAGACAACACTGTATTCATATCTTTAAAAGATATTTTATATAGAGTGTTAATGAAATTGTAGAGAAATGGACACTGGCACAGGCCACCAGGTGCAAGCATAAATTGATAGAATCCTTTTTGGGAAGAATTCGGCAGTGCATTCAAACACGCACATATTTAAACCTAGGAATCCCGTTTTGAAATAGAACCTTAGACAAAGCTGAGTACATGCACACAAAATGAAATATAGAAGGATGCTCACTGTAGCCAGGGTATAGCAAATGCTGGAACGCCCCCTCACCCCACCTCAAATGTCCATCTGGTTAGAAAAGTTAGTCCACAGTAATTCCACATCATAGCTAGCCACCCCCGTCCTAGGTAGTAAGGTAATTTCTAGGAAGAAGTTAGTTTTCTAAACAATACTTATAGTATGATCCCACTGATAGAAAGCAAATGAAATGAAATGGATTTATGTATACCAAAGTGTTAACTACCACCATTTTTAGTAAAGAGACTAGGTTAGAAAGATTTGAAGGTAACTTTCACTACTGAATTTATACATCACTGTTTTGTTTGAGGTTTTATAAAAATTAGCATAAAATTTCATAAAATGTCAACTTTAAAAGTATGCTTATTATTTATGATACACTATTTAAACCTAATTTAAATCTTGACTTCAAAGAAAATTCTTACCTTCCAAATTTTCAATTTTTTCAATGTTGTTTAGAGCTAAATTCAAATATTCAAGTTTCTTGAGTTTGCTAACATTTTCTGAAACATACAAATAATGTAGTTAACCTCCAAAATAAAGATTAAAGATTTTAATATAATTACTATAAAATGACAAATACTCACTAAGGAATACTTTGTAATTATCAAAATCTCACTACTTTTCAAGTCTTACCTGTACGTGAACCATGCAACACCCACATCTCCCTCCATCTTTCCTAGTGGAACCTAGATTTGCTTATGTCTCCAGTTAGCCCCGACTCTGAGGGTGGAGTTGGCTTACCCAATGGGGTGAGTCCCTGGACATCCCACCTCTCTTGCTAGCAAAGGCTCTGGAACTTAAGCCTAAGCCAAGCAGCCCCTGGAAGTCCCCTAGCAACCACGTGCTACAGGGCTCACCCATGGAGGACCCCAATCAGATAAAGGAAAGATCTATAGTCTACACTTGGGGATATCTTATCTCTTTTTCCTTTTAGGTGTTAATAAGCTTGGAAGTCCAATTCCTACCAGCACTCACAGGGAATCAGCTGTCGGATAAAGCCCACACTGGCTGGTGAAGCAGACAAGAAGGAATCAAACAATCCTGGAGTCTGCTATATCTCTAAATTTGGAATTGGGTAAAATAGTAGCCTTTCTTACTGTTAAGCCACATTCTTTTGTGCAAAGTCAAAATCAGCCTGATAAAAGATTGTCTTTTTTAATGAATCTGAACGTTCATATGGAGAAACAACATGAAGCAGGACTTTTTAGAAAAAGCTAAAAATAAGATTTAGTTCACATTGTTGATTGCTTACTGTGTGCCATATGATGTTTTTGCACATATTATTTTATCCTCATAATAACCTCGTGAAGTAAAATCCATTGTCTCCTTTTACAAATGAGCATACAATACCAAGGCACAGAGAGCCCACTTCCCCAAGGTTAAATGGTAAAGCCAGAAAGTTGGACTCTGGAGCTTGGCACTGAATCATTACATTGCATGTACCTTGAAAGAAAGAAAGAAAGTCCTTTGTCATATAACATGAAAGATAGTGCTTCTGCTGAGGAATGTGTTTTGGGGTCAGCCTCACTTAAACAATGCCTCTCTTGTCCACTTCTCAAGGATGTTATGCACGTCAAGCATCATAACATATTACCACCACCTCACTGCCATTAACAGCTCATCTAACATGCATGAAATATGTATTTGTTCCACATACATGAGAATAACTGTTCAGCCCTCAAGTTCTCAGTCTACTGATTCCTTAAGATAAGGATTTGGGGATAAATTCAAGTTGTGGAGATAAATTATTCAAGTAATACTACTGTTTACAAAAGGTTCTTTGGCAACATCTGAGCATTCAATCATCAACAGATTTGGAGGTTTCTTTCCGCCAAGAATTAGAAGAGACAGAATGTCTAGTCTGCATCCTACAGGAAAATATTCAAAATTATCACTGTGAAAACTGCCAGTCCCTAATAAAAACCTGTGCAAAACAGAATTCCCTTTCCCTGTCTTTGTTACATGTACAGCCCTCGAAAGGCTACAGAGTCATCTGGTAGAAATAAGATTTTTTTCTGAGAAAATTGCCTCCATCACCCAAAGAAGCAAAGAGCCAAATTGGTCACAAGGGGGAAAAAACACTCCTTATATAAAAATGTCCAGGTCCTCTGGGGCAACAGAAAGGGCGCCTGAGAGCTGTAGCCCACAGCTTTCTGCACGCGGTTGTCACCCACTGACACAAACAGGATATCCCATTTTGAGGGACCCAAATCCTTTCCCAGGTAGAAGAACTCTGTGAGCCCCAGTTTTGTGAGCTCCATCAGGAAGAAGCTGCAAAGGGACCTGAGGCGCCCACCCCCACCCTACCTCCATGCTTTCCTGGACCCCAGATGGTCCGGCACTGGCAGGCCTGCTGAGCAGAGCCTTCCTCTGCATTCCATCTGCATCTCCCAGGGAGGCACACAGCATAGAAAACACAATTGTTCTGCGAGTTTCTACCTCAGACAGCAAGTCTGAAGCTGAGAGAAGTAGTCTGACTTACTAAATAAATTCCTAACTGCTTATGGGTGGCGAGCTCTGAAAAATCCCATTATTAGACTTTAAACGTGTTTAATTTAAGAATACTTTGGAAGAAAAATTTAAACTTCCTCCCAGCTCTGAAAAGCATGAAATGCTATGCTACTAATTAGTAATTGTGATGGACCCAGCTGTGGAGATTAAAATTTGGGGAACTCTTTTAGATGTGTACAATTAGGACTGTTCTTCAATGCTCTGTGCATAAAAGCTGGTGGTTTTCTATAACAGCCTTTTTAATTGAACAATGTGCCAGAGTTTCTAATTTCTGGTAAACTAGAAGATGCTGAAAATAATTATCTGAAGAAATAAGCAAATTTAGGCTTGCTACAACCCTGGAGCCAGCAACCATACCACTTGGGGTTTCTCAATCTCAGCAACACTCACATTTGGGGCTGAATAATTCTTTCTTCTGGGGAGCTGTCTGTCCTATACCGTATATGATGGTGAGCAGTATTCCTGGCCTCTACACACCAGATGCCAGTAGCACACACAATCCACCACATACCCATCGGTGACAACTAATAACGTCCCCAGACTTTGCCAAGGGCTCTTTCTTGAGAACCACTGTGCATCAACATAGGAAATTAACTACAACCCTACAGGCGTACCTCTGGGCTCCAGGGCCAGGGCACACAGGCTCTCTAGTCCACAGCTGACTCCAGCCCTTCTTTTCCAACTCTCTTCACTCTCCCTCCTGCTCCTACCTTCCCTCTGCCAGTGCGGGGCACTCTGGGGTAATGAGAACATTAATAACAACAGCACCTGGCTTCAGTCTAACGAGCACCTCTTTTGTGGTGAGTACAACATGACACACACTGTTTCGTGTACCTTTCACACCAATACATGCTACCGGCCTTGTTTTATAGACGATAACCCTAAAACTCAGGCTAGCTAACCGACTTGTCTAACTTCACACAGCTGATATGCGGCAGAGTTCACAGCCACGTCTACCTGAGGCCAGAGCCCAACCTTGCTTTCACAATACCATTAACCTCTACTGTGGCTTTTCCAAGCATCAGTAGTGCTCACCTCTTTTCACACGGTAGGGCCTCCATTAAACTGACTGCAGTGTTCCCTTCCCTGTGATGCTTACTTAATTACTGTGTGGGTGTGAGAGGGCTAAGGGTGAAGACCAATTTATCTCAGAGATAAACTGGAAAAGAAACTGAGCATATTCAGTCCTATCTCTGGGTACCAGCATCTTCCTTACAGCAAAGAGCACATGGTTTCAACAAAGGTCCACTGGGTTGCTATGGTCTAGTTTATTACAGTAAAAGTGAGCCCACTTGGCTGCACATCCAAGCCACGCAGCTCAGAGAGGTGAATCAGTTATAATTTAGTATTTGATCTTCATCCACCTGACTCCTGCACTTTATTCCCATTCTCATGTAGAACTTCTTCAGTACCTAGTGCTGAGCACAATGCCTTGGAAGCAAACGGTATGGAACAGTTACAGTCCATGATGGCCTAGTAAAGGATTGGTTAATTCCCACTGAATCCTTCCAGTTTTGTAGATTGATATAAAATCAGATGCATGAATTACATTCTCCTCCCTTTCAAACTTACAAAAAGCTGGTCAACTAATATATTCCTTGCATCCAACTAATTCCCTAGTTTGATGGAGATTTTGTAGGGCAGCAGGAGTACTCACAGAAAGGATCAGGGAAATGTTACACATACAATCACTGAGAGAAGCTTGGGTCTGTTTTCCCACATCATCATTTCCAGCTATGGTCTCCATCTAACACTGCATTTTGTGAAATTCTCCTATACCCAGTAAGAATAAAGTTTCAACACTTACCAATTTTCCCAATAAGGTTATTTTGAAGATAGAGAATTTTTAAATCCCGGCACCATTTGTCAATATGTTCTAGTCTTTCTATTTCTTGCTGATGCAAGGAAAGTTCCTCCAGGGAAAAAATTACACAGTCATTGTGTTCAGCATTCCGTCTAATAAGATCTTCTGTGACTGAAAGAAAATTTGCTGCATATTACATTTCTATCCCCATTGTTCATCATCTGGTTATTATGCTATTAATATGCTAGATTTTATTCACAGCTACACATCAGTTCTCCAAGCCCAAGTGATTTCCAAAAGGAAAGAGATCAGAAAAATGCTACCTTCTTCTGCAGTTCTGTACACGATGTAAGTCAAAGGGGAAAAAGGGGATATCTTAAGTCTTGTATTTGCATGCATGGGGTCTATATACATTTGCTGACTGAAGACACTGATAGCTAATGGCAATAAGAATGTTGGTACAGATTCTTGTGGTACCATGTTAAAGTGGGTGAGATTCACTCTCTGATCTGAGAAAGATTAACTTTCACTGGATATACAGTCTGCCTGACAGAGGACAGAAATACGAAAACATCTCCCACTATTCAGTAAGGAAATTTCATTCTTTAATTCATTTAACCAATATTTATTAACTATAATTTAAGAGAAAAGAAAGGAATGCCCTAGGTCTTAGATTAAAGTCTTACAAAGCAACCAATACTTGTTCTGTCTTCAGGAAGAATGAAAAAGCTTCTCATATTAGGAGCAGACAGAGTGCTCCTCCCTGCTAATGTGTTCCTTGCATCTAACTAATTCCCCAGGGTTAACATGAACAGTATGTAGCATTGGGCTGCCCAAGTAAGACTATGTAATGACAATGGCACTAAGACACAAGGGACAATGTCATAGTCTACTGTTAGAGCCAGGGGCAAAATCATGAACCAACATGGCAAAATGATAGACCATTTGCAAATAAAAACAGGATCAAGAGGTGGAGGGAGAAGAGAGGGGAGGGAGGGAGGTATTAAGATGTGTTATGTGCATGTGTGAACAATCCATGATGAATGCCATCATTGTGCACTGCAAACACCACCATTAAAAATAAAATGCACCAAAATCAAAGGGACAGAGACACTTGAAAAATCCTATCCCTTCAAATGCTTTTAGATTACTGACATATTTAAATCCATGCATTTTAAGTAGAATGTGAAAATACCACACATCTACCCCAGGAGTTAATAAAGGCTCATTCACTGTCATTTAGGAGATGCCAGGAACTATTCTAAATGCATTATATGCTCCGAAGTACAAATACATAGTTATTACTTGCATTTATTTGATGAGGAATTGAAACACAGAGTTTCAGTAACTTGCCTGGGTCTTGGCAGTGAGCTGGAGCCAGGTTTTAAATCTATCGCCCAGCACCTTAGTTCTTAACTACTATGCTACGCCACCTCAAACAGGAGCAAAGGAGAGTCACTGGAGGTTTTCTGGGGTTCCCAAATGTGCATATTCATCCAGCTGAGACAAGCTCTTCACAGCACTGTTGGCTGCTTCTGTTTCTGATACATCTTTAAAAATGCAGCCTACCTTTTTTCTATATGTAAAACATATATGAATTTGATTATTTGTGTGCAGTTAGCTGAACTCTGATACTTCTGATTGTGGGAGATAAGGTTGCTTCCAAAGACAGTTCTTTAAAAGAGAGATAAGGGAAATGTGGAGACCCAGAAATTAAAATACCACATATGAGAAATATTCTTGTGGTTCTAAGCTTTGGCTCAGCTGACAGGCAGACATGGCTGCAAACCCATTCATGGAAAGGGGAGGTCAAAGTGGCTTAAAAGGAGGTTAAAAAGGCAGCGACACTACCCCTAGTGCTCTGATGCTTGATATCTCTGGAATGTTACTACTAGTTTGTAGTACAGCTTTCATAGACTGATCTGTTCAAGGAAAAGAAAACAAATAAACAACTTCTTGAAAACCAAGGCTGAAAGAAATTACCCCTCTCCCACACACAGTGGTTTGTTCTGATATTATGAATCCACCAACAACAAATTAATGGGAACAACCGATTGGAGTATAGACAAAGCTGCTATATAAACTAAAAAGAATTAATTCTGTGTAACTTATCTACAAAATATTCTCTTAGAAAAGATGCAAGATGGATCAAGTGATGAGATAGCATGACCAATATTATTTGCACTACCTTAACTAAATGTGAGAGTTAAAACTTCACAAACCCAAAGAGCAGGTAAGTGTACATTGGAGGCTTTGCTGCCCTTAGACCTGGAGTCCATGGGGCCAGGAGGATGTGCTTATTGAGAAATTATGTGTCCTTTCTTCTGAGGCTCACTGCTCAAAGGCCCCCAAGTCAGTCCCCAAGATTCTCACTGGCCACTTATCCAGGTTCATTCCCAAAGACAAACTGTACCATTGGGTGCACATCCCCACACTCAGTGTGTCCAAAGAACAGTTGCTTGCCAGGGATATGGGCCAATTGGATGTATAATCTGGGGTATCCTCCTTATACATGAGCACAGCAGACCAGAACATAGCCAGTGATGGGAAAGGGTGTAACTGAGGGGCAGAGGAGCAGTTATATACAAAGTTATACCGAAAGATTTTAAGGAAAGAGACACTATGGTAACTACTATTATGTCAAGATTATCTTGTGGTGAAACACTATTTTGTTTAAAGGCTATGTTTTGACCTGCACTGTTTTGTTGTTATGCCCTCTTTTTTATCTCATTCTCCTTTTTATTATCTACTTTTTCATTTTTATCCATTTAATTAAGGGAAAAATAAATAAAAAATAGCAGGATATATTATAGTAACCCACTTTGATTTCCTATTAACTTGATTTGAAACTCTGTATTGCTCTCACCATCTTGTTTTGACTGATTTTCCTCTATTCTGTTATGCTAGAAAGTACCAAGTTTGAAATTATAGGCAACAACTATGAAGACAATAAGATTCATTGTGACACCCATTCTGGTTTACTATTATCTTCTTTTGAAGTCCTCTAATGTCTCCAATGTTTTGGTTTTATTGGTCTTATTGTTTATTGGTTTGTTCAATGTTATTATACCTGATGATATAGACAATTCTTTTTAAGATAACAAGAGGCATTATGGTAACCATTGTTGATCACCTTGTATTTTGTTTTTACATTATGTATTATGTCCATCCTTTTGATTTGACTGACTCTGTCCTGGTATGTCACATTTGGTTTTACTTTCTTCAAAAAAAAAAAAAAAAGTAATAAGAACTGTGGGAGTAATAAAACCCAAAATGTGTAATTGTCATTGTACAAAAGAAAGGAAAAGAAAGTTCTCTAAAAGATATAACTGCATATATATTTAAGTGTATAAGATAGATAACCATATTACTGAGTTTTGTTGGATCATTGAACAAAACTGTTTGCAGTCTCACTGTTTGAAAGTCCCCTCTATATGCTCTAATTTTCTAACTTCAACAACTATTTCTAAGATGACAATATGTAATTAACTAGTGATTTCCTACTGTTTATTTTTTCTGAAATTCTGTATAACTTGTACCCTTTTTCTGGTTTTTTTTTTTTCTCCTTAAATAAAATTTTAAAAAAAGAAAAGAAAAGAAACAGGAGGTGGATCCCCAGGACTCAGAAAGGATCTGAAGGGAAAACTGGAGCTCACAGAGAAACTGAAGAGATAGACCACAATACAATGAAATGAAGGGACGACCTGCGCTTTCTCCCTGGCTCTTAGCTTGTGAGAGAAAGGAAGGTTGAATCTAGACACATAGTGACAGTGGGCAACCCCAGAGGCCCACTGGGAAAAAATGCACCAGTATAACACAGCTGAGGACTCTGTGCATTGCAACACCTGGTGAGTGACTCCAGTTCAAGCATCTGCCATATCCCCTGGAGAAGGTGTCTGGTTAGATGCCATTTTAGGGAGGGGCTAACTAAACTTGGGCCTCACAGCAGCCATGGCCTTATCTCAGCACACACAGCTTTAAATCTCACAGTCACTGAGTGAGGGACAACCACGGGAGAGGCCCATGGTCAGGGAGCCATAGTCATGCTGGCAAAAGACACCCAGCATACTACAAGCTCAATGACGCATCCCCAGTCCCATGATCCAAGGCCAGGTTCAGCCTGAATTTCTGCAGATTTGAAAGCACCAGAACTGGCATCAACCACTAATCCTACTGCCAGCTTGCTGGGATTGTTCGGCATGGATCTGGGCTCTGACTCTCTCCCTTACCAGTGAGAGCAGAATCACACCTTGAATTGAACACATGCACAAAATAGTAGACCATACAAGGTAACTACACACTTGAAATCACAGAGAAATTTCTTTTTTTTCTTTCCTGGTTGTGTTTTTTTGATTGCTTGTTTTGTTGTTTTGTCCTAGTATGACCTTTATTATTTTTTGGCTTTTAGTTTTGTTTTGTTCTTATTTTGGTTTTCTCTTTCTTTCCTTCTCTCCTATCTTCTTAACCAGTTTCCTAGGGCTTGGGTATTCTTCCTCTGTACTTCAGTCTTACTTTTAATTAGTTTTTCTCCTTTTTTATCTCCTTTTTTTCTTCTTTTCTCTTTTAAATTTTCTCCCTTAAGTTAAAATTGCTCTATGGAGTGGTTATTTACTGTATATAATTTTCTGATTTTTTTCTTAGATTTTATTATATAACTACAAATTTTGTACCTAGAGAAAAGGTGGAAAATTATTAGTTATCACAGTTCAGCATTTTCCAGTCTGCATTTGATGCTATTGTTATTACTAATTTTACTACTTTACCCAATGTTACATATTGTTATGATCAACTGATCTTCCTTGTAAGCCAATACCTAGATTGTCTGTGGGTCATGAATAATACCACAGCCCAGTACACAAGAACAGGCTGCTAGACCCAAATAGCCTGCAACTTTCATCCCTAATAAACAGAAGAGTCAAGGTCCTGGCCTAGGACAGACTCAAAGGCCAAAGCCCAGCTTTTCCTAGAAGACATCTCTGAAAAGTAGTAATTTTCTTGAGGTTTTGATACTACTAATAAAGCTATGTACCATAAGTAATTTACAAGCCTCGATGCAGAAAAAAATTAACAAAAAATAGAAAAATGAGAAAACACAGAAGCAAGATGCAACCAATAATCCCAACTTGCCCAAGGCAAATCCAGTGGCAATGAAGTGGAAGAAAACAAATCCA